AAGTGGACTCAATTTGCACTATTTCTGGCAGTCTGCAAAGGCCAGAGCTTTCTATGAGCTGATAGAAACACAAGAACCACTAGAGATAACTTCTTGTCCATTCAGACACAGCTTCTTCACTTCTGGAGCCCTCCTCTTCTAAGGCACTCATCTTCACTAGGATGATTAGAATTGTGATCCTGGTGATATAATTCTATGTTGTCTAATTAATAGAATATTATCTCAATTTCAGATTGGCACATATGGAGTTAATATTGAATTCACCTTATGAAAAGAAAATGGTGTTTTTTAAAAAGAACAAAAAAAACAAAAAACTTTTGTATCCCCCTACCATCTCATTTTGTACTGCCGTCTGATGGTCTGTTATCCTTTGTTTACTTGTTGTTCTTGGATCTTGGTTTCACAAATGCCTCCTAAAAGCTGCACTAAAGTTCAAAAGCTCAGGATCCCACTTTATCAAACAGCATCTGGAATAAAAACTGTAACAAAATTTCAGTGAAATTAAAGTGACTAGACATATTTCTGAAACAGAAACTAAATACTTCACTGGAAAAAATAATAATACAAGATTCCACCTACCACCCTATCCCACCCACAGAGAAATGTAGTTGATCACGGTTTTAGTTATCAAGTGACAATATCACATAAAGACTTTAATTTTGTTTCCAGAGAGTTCAAGCCTTATTTAGTTCAAATAACCCCAACATACAGTTGTTTTTGAACATTATGAGCTTAACCTATGAAATCCAATACAATATGACCCTTGATAAAAACTGTTAAGATTAGCTTTAAAAGTATTATGCAGTGGTTGAAACAAGATGTTTTGCAGCCAAGTCAATATCTGATAACATAGCACCTACTGTTAATTCACTGATGGTGCCACATATATATTTTCCTTGTTATTCATGTATCTGGAATCCAGTTGGGTAAAGAAATTGTGGTGAGTTTAAAATCAAGAGGTCGAAAGAAGAGTTAAACACTTCTTCATCTAAACATCACCACTTCTCCCGTTGTGATGCACTTTGCATTGAAAGAGTATTTGGGGTTTCTAGTATTTGGGCTCACGATAATTGGAACACAACTTGGAAAAATTATTTTTACTGGCCTACAACTCCCAAAATTGCTGATCTCTATGGCTACTGTATGGCTTCATGGTTAGTAACCATATTGACTGAAGAACTCATGAAGCCCAGGAAAGTACGTTTTCCAAGTTCTGGCAGAATGTATAATTTGAGTCTATGTCAAAAAGTATATAAAATGTTTTCTTGCTTATCCTTTATTTTCTTTAGACTTGATTTCCAAAAAGTATAGTGATTTCATTTTTCCTGTCACTTTATTTGAAAAGTGACATTTTTAGTCAGAGTAATTCCAATTTGTAGGTTTGTTGTTTTTTTTTAAAAAAAAATGAATAATGTTCTGGAAATGAAGCTACATGGCAGATTAGCTTCATTTTTATGGAACAGGTTTAAAATATTAAAGTGTTTTTCCCCCCAAGGGTTGGCTAATAAGCTATGAGCGATTTAAGAGTTTACTTGATAAGAATTCAACCTTAAAGAACAAGAAAGAGTTGTGCCTAAATAAGAACTGTATCTAATTAAATATACATAATTTTGCTCTTTCATTTTCTTTGGCAAAAGCTTTACAGGCCTTAATATTACTTTAATCAGTATATTCAAAATGAAGCAATAAAAATGAAATTAGGGTAAGAAAAAATTGAAATTAAGCAAACACTTCCAAGGGGTTCTGTTCTTTTGTCAGGATGCCAATACAGGTTTTTGGTTTGTTTTTTTAAGGAAAAGAAAACAGCTTTATGAAATTTATTAGAGGGTATAGTAGCATAAAGACAAAATGTGAACTAAGCCTATTTTAATTATATGGCCAGTTTGTTCCTACTGCAGTAGACAGTGTTGATTAATTTTTTTCAACTGGTCTGCTGCACATCACTATTAAGCATTTTGACAATATGGAAAGTTTACAAATCTATCCTTCAAAACTGTAAAAAATATACTATAATCTTGGAACTATGTTTAGTGTTTCTAATAATCAAGTCTACTAGTGAAGGACAAGCCTCACAGGTGACTTAGATCTGGATCTTCCACATCCAACACTCTGAACTTTGCACCAGGTCTCTCTGGGACATGGCAAAACCCTATGCCATGTAGAAAATCTCACATGGGGTTTGCTAACCCACAATGGGAATTCCTTACCCAAGCCATGTGACCTAAAGTGAGGGCACCTCTCCCCCTAAGCCATCCCTAAGATTGCCTTAGGTGTTCACCACAATCTTACTTTTCTCCCCCAAATATTTAACACAGCCAATGGGCAAGGGTCTGATTAAACCCATTCCATCACCAAACCAGCAAATAGGGCTCTTACCCCCCAGTGCATATCACCCAAAAACAAGATATAGTCCACCTCAGATAGGTGAACACCATCAGCCCTGTAAATCTCAGGCTCCTGAAAGACCTGTGGGGGATGTTGTAAAAATAAATAAATCCCCCAACCCATTGCATCAATGCATTTTTTTACCCATCCATGGACCCTATCCAGACAATGTGGATCACTCTCACCACACCAAACCTGGTGAAGAAAATTGGTTGACTGTAGTAAAAGCACTGTAGGCCATTAGGCTTGGATAATTTGAAATTCATGTACTGCCTGGATAATCAAGGCTTTCCCCTTCAGCAAACCAAGATCATTATCCCCAAGGTGAATGACTAGAACTGTGATGGCAAACACATGACACAGGTTCCACAGGCAGCAGGCCAAGC